CTATGATTGTGTATGTGGGATGTTGGTGTGTGCTATGATTGTGTATGTGAGATGCTGGTGTGTGCTATGATGTTGTATGTGTGGGATATGATGGTTTGGATACAGCTGGAGTAACCAACTTCATAATCCAAACAAACCACCACACAAAAAACACTACAATGGTTTGGTGTGTTTTATGTGGGCACATGCACAATCCAAGGCACATACCCATTTTAATATGAGTGTGAGAGAGAGAGAGTGTGTGTTTGGAATGGTGGTGGTGGGGTTGGGGAAACTTATGTGCATTGCTTCCCCATTGATTGCAATCTTTGTGCCACCCACAACTCACACGCAATCTTTGGGCCCACCAAACTATTGCTGTGATATGGCAGTGTTGTTGAAGAATGTGGCAATGTGGACTTGGAAGGGGAATGGGCTGGTGCAAACCTGAGCATGTGCCAGCATTTGGGCTGGAAGCTGCCAAAGGCCAACAATGCCTAGCAGAAAAAGGTTAGGAGTGCCTGGCAGAGGAACTCTGCCACCAGACTATAGACATCCAGCGCTGCAGTACCCTTCACAAAGTAGGGTGCCATCATGGGCCTTTGCTGGTCAGGGCCCAGGGCAACAGTTTTGGCCACTTGGCATTTGGTGATGGGGGGTCAACATGGTGGATTTAAAGGTTTCGCAATGATGCTTTGCGTGTGTGTGGTGCTTGCAATTTGGAAACCATTTCATCTCAGCTTTACATGTGTGTGTGGTGCTTGCAATGTGGAAACAAGTTCATCTCAGGGGTGGAGATCATGGGCAGATGGTTCCTGCACAGAGCATGCATGGCAATCCTGATCATCCTGGTGGGCTGGATGGTAATGAGGAGGACCAGGATGATTTGGAAGATGAAGAGGAATCAGACAGCAGTTCAGACAAGAGATTTGGCTAGTAACAATCATTGTTGGTGTATTGATGTGTAGTGGGGCAAGTTGGCATTGTCTCAAGGGTGTTGTGCATTGACAGTGTGGGTCTTGCAGTGTCTAAGGAAGAGAAAGAAGAAAAAGGATAAGAAGAAAAAAAAGAAGGACAAGGGAAAGAAAAGAAAGCGTTGCTTGTTTTGCAATGTTGTTCTTGTTGTGCAATGAACACCAGTGAACCCATACAAGTTCAACTTGCCTTGGGCACAGGTTCTTCCTCCAGTGCTCCTGATGAAGAAGATGATACAGGGCTGACAGAAGAACAAAAGGATGGAAAGATGTTGTCACAGCACTAGGGTTGCATATTTGTTGCTGTGGTAGTCAAACCTTGTGGGCAAATCATCATGCAGCAGGGTTTGCCAAGTGCAATAACCAAGGCATTGGACCTACCTTGGCCCAGACTTTGGAGTTGATGAAGTTGGAGGCAGCACAAGGAAGGCAAGGAAGAACCTTGGGGTCAATGGTTACATGTGTGTCATGGAAGTGCCATGGGGTGAGATTGCTGAAAAAACATGTTTGCAAGGAGTTTCTCTTTGTTGCCACATCCCAGGAACTGCTTGCCTAGATCAGAGAAGATGAGGCAGCTGCAGAGAATTGATGGTGACAAATTCCACACAAGTTATTTGGCAAAAAGCAATCATTGAAGCTGTGAATGCTTTGTGCATGCATTGGAAAATGCATGGTGGGTGCAGTTCATTTGGTGTGAATGAGGTCTGACTTCAGGGCTCCCAGACTTGCACTTGGAGCAATTGAGCTTCATCTGCACTGGGCTGGGCCCCAGGACAAAGGTGAGGGAATTAGTTGGTGTCAGAACCCGTGGTGATTTGCAGCTTGGCCTTTGTAACTATGTGCAGTGCTGTGGTTGGTTGCTGCATTTTGGGCATTGTTCAAAACCTTTAGTGGTTGAGATGTGGCAAAACCCTGGGGTGAAAAACTCAGGCTCCAATGTTTGAAGGAGAGCTTTGAAAGGAGGAAGAAAATGAGTGGTGGGGAACTCCTTTCAACCCTGACTGCCACTTTGGCCATGGCTCATGTGGTCACATATAGTGCTCAGTGCTTCTATTGCTTGTCAGCCCTTATTCATGTTGCCATGCTACAAGATTCAGGCTAACTTCGAGAATGTGGAGATGTTGGCAAGCACCATGGGATGGAGGAAGCAACTTGAGAAAGAAAAGGGGAGGAGGTCCAAGGGTGTTATGGAGCAACCTGAAGTGGATCAGTCCCAGAAGCCAAACTATTCTGCAAAGAAATTGTAACTTGGTGAAGCATTTCACCAGTGAACCATTTCATTACTTGCTGAAACATGCCACCAGTGGAATCCCTAGTCTTGGAGGTCTTGGAGTGGTTGGGGGGTTGGGAGAGCATTTGAGGCTTGATGGAGCACTTCTTGTGGAGAATGCATCAGGGCAATGCCACAAGCTGGCCATGTGTGGGGTACCTGTGGTGATGGTATACAGAGATGGGAAATACATGCTGAAGATACCCCAGACAGCTCAAAGCTGTGAGTGGCTTGTTGGAATTTGGTTTGTGTGAATGTATTGTGTTGTTGAATATTTGTTTTTTGTGAAGTGTGACCATGAGTGAGGGGGTGGTGGATATGTGCCCTGCTTTGGCCAAGGGTCATCATGGCCTTGGATCAAATCTTCACTTCTCCAACAGGAGTGCATGACTGGTATGGCAAAGTGGCACCCTGCCAGCAATAATAGCCAATTGGTGAAACATAGTGTGGGGGGAGCCACTTTTCCAGAATAAGGCAGAGAATTGTTTGGTGAACAGAAGCCAGAAATGGGCAGAGGACTACATCAATGCATGCGAAGGCACAAGTTTTGAGCCTGATGCAGTTGCAGTATAGAAGTGTTTGTGTTCACCAAACAATGCTGTCCATTTGTTGCCTCAGTGTGTTTGCAAACCTGGAGGCATGGAGGATGGGCATTGGATGAAGGAGCAAGTGTCCAATTTGGTCAGCCAGATGCCAGACAAGCAGACCCTGGCAAAGTTAGCTGGAGGAGAGAATGGGTGGATTGTTGTAAGCCATGCAGAACACAATGCTGTTTGTTTGGGGGTTAGTGTGGTGTGGTATTTGGAGGGCCTGGAAGCAGCACTTCAGCACCAATTGATGGGCTATCATTGTCCAGCTGGTCAGAAACAGAGGCCTGGTGGAATGGGAATGTTGGCATACACATGTGCAGCCAGCCAGCAATGCTATCTAGTGGTTTGTTGTGTTGGTGCAATTGCCATACAGGTACAATCTGATGCATCCAGGCAGTTGTTTGTGGCACCAGGACAGTTTCACTCACCCAGTCATGCAGTATACCATCATGTTATACATGGTATGTGCCAGCCAGTCACAAAGCCTAACAAACCAAAAAAGAGTAGAATGTGTGGATTTGTGCCAGGAGCAGGCAACCTGCAGATGCCAAAAGCCAGGGAACATAGCCTTGGACGCTATTTCCAATCAGAACAGGGAGATGGGGGGCACAAACCAAAGGGAAGTGGGCTGCTGCTAGCACACCAACCACAGCACCAGAAGACCTTCCAACAGGGTGGCACCACAAAACAAGACATGCTCCAAGAAGCCATTGACCTTGCAAGGAGGCACCCCCTGTTCAGGAGTTTTGAGGATCACCATGCTCTAAACAGAGCCTGGGCTTTTGGAGATGCCATCAATGGCAATTTGATGAAAGATGTTTTGGATTTTGATGCATTTCTCAAAGCAAACAGGCAGACAGCACCATTTGACCTTTTGGCCATATGCATGGCTGCAGAAAGGGACCTTAGGCAGATGCAGGCAGCCCAGGAACCACAGCAGCAGCCACTATCCCAGCAGGGACAAGGACAACAACAAGCAGCCCAGCACCAACAACAGCCAATGCCAATGGTGCAAGGCCAGCCATGCCAGCAAGGGCAACAGCAACTTTTCATGCAGGGGCAACAGCAAATCCAATCCCAGCCATGGCAGGGGCCAGGACAACAACAGCTACCATGTGGTCAAGGCCAGCAAAGGCAACAACAGCTAGCCCAGCAAGGGCCAGGACAGCAACAGCCACCATTGCCAGGCCAGCAAGGACAACAACAGCTGCCATGGGGTCAAGGCCAGCCAGGGCAACAACATCTAGTCCAGCCACCATTGCCAGGCCAGCAAGGACAACAACAGCTACCATGGAGCCAAGGCCAGCAAGGGCAACAACAGCAAGGCCAGCAAGGGCCAGGACAACAAGGGCCAGCATCAGGCCAGCAAGGGCCAATGGCAGTGCCATGGGGGACAGGACAACAACCATGGCCAGGCCAGCAAGGGCAAGGACAAACACAGCCACACCCAGTTGGTCAAGGCCAGCAAGGGGCATGGCAACAACAGGCAGGCCAGCAAGGGCCAGGACAACAACAGCCATGCCAGCAAGGGCAAGGACAGCAACAGCCAGGCCAGCCAGGGCCAGTGCAACAACAGCCATGCCAGCAGGGGCCAGTGCAACAACACCCAGGCCAGCAGCAGCCAGGGCAACAGCAGCCAGGCCAGCAAGGGCCAGCATCAGGCCAGCAAGGGCCAAATGCATGGCAAGGACAACAGCAGCCACCATGGCCAGGCCAGCATGGGCAAGGGCAACAACAGCCAGGGCAGCAAGGGCCAGGACAACAACTGCCAGGGCAAGGCCAGCAAGGGCCATTGCAACAGCAGGCAGGCCAGCAGGGGCAAGGCCAGCAAGGGCCAGTGCAACAGCAGGCAGGCCAGCAGGGGCAAGGGCAACAGCAGCTTGTCCAGCAAGGGCCTCAACAACAGCCAGGCCAGCAAGGGCAAGTGCAACAGCAGCCAGGGCAGCAAGGGCCAGGACAACAACTGCCAGGGCAAGGCCAGCAAGGGCCAGGGGAACAGCAGCAGCCAGAACAAGGCCAACATTTGCTTCCACCATCACCAGACCAATACAATTTGGAAGTTTGGGAGTTATTTTCCCTTATGCAAAGGCCTGGTCTGCAACCAGCTGGCAAAGGCCAACAAGGCCAAGGACAGGTGCTGCCACCAAACCCATCCCAAGGCCAGCAAGGGCCAGTGCAACAGCAGGCAGGCCAGCAGGGGCAAGGGCAACAGCAGCTTGTCCAGCAAGGGCAAGGCCAGCAAGGGCCTGGACAACAACAGCCAGGCCAGCAAGGGCCAGGACAACAACTGCCAGGGCAAGGCCAGCAAGGGGCAGGGAAAGTGCAACAGCAGCTTGTCCAGCAAGGGCCAGGACAACTACAGCCAGGCCAGCAAGGGCCAGTGCAACAGCAGGCAGGCCA